TCTCATCCTTACCCCTACCCTCTTTCCTAAAGTAGAATATTCATTCACATCCTCTTGGCTCAGATGTGAACTTGCACCTCAGAGAACCTGCAGAGAGTGGACTCCATTTCACTGTCCATTGCCTTATGGGAATCATCCTCTTTGGGACGTTGTCTCACGTTTTACAAAACTCTGCTCTAGGGAAAGGCTTTGAAGTTTACACCAAAATAGGATCGATTAATAAGGCTTGATTGGGTCCAAAGACTTAAGGGAAAGTTTTCCTTATTTTATAATTTCGAACGGTAATATCCAAGATCTTGAATACAGGGTATAAGAATGGGGAGGGAGACTCAAGATAATGCCTATGCCGAACAGCAAATGGAAGCACGGTGAAAGAAAGCAAAGGGAAAGGAATAGGTTCCGTGGTTACTGTTCTAATGAGCCCAGTTTCCAGCCTTCCTATTAATTCTGTGAGCTACCTCAAAGCTCTTTTTCTGTGTGAGCTGTCCCAAATTCCTGTTTTCACTTACATCAGCCAAAGTCAGGTTCTGTTGCTTGCAACTCAGTAACCCCTACTGATTCATAAATAAAGAGAGACTGGTAGTTAAGAGTGAGAAAAAAATAAGTAAGATACAAAGAGAAGGAGAGAAGACGGACAAAGTGGCTGGATCCCACAACTGCCTCAGATCTTGAAGGATTCTAGACCTGATTTGTGCATAACCTTAAAAATAAAACCCACCCCAACTCCACCACATTTTGTTAACACATTCCATGTCCCTCATAACTCAGGTGGTAACTGGTTTTTTTTTTGGCAAGAACCCTTTCAATTGCAAGCAACAGAAAGATAACTAATTAGTTGATGCAAAAAAAGGCCACGGATAGACCTTGCTTCTGGCACGGCTGGATTCAGAGACTCAACCAGGCATGTGGCTCTCCTTTCAGCCATGCTTTCTTCTGTGTTTGCTTCATTCTCAGAGTCTTCCCTCATGATGGCAGACATGTCCCCTGGAAGCTTTCGGCTTATTTTGTACTAGTTCATCATCTCAGAAGAGAGCTTCTCTTTTCCACTAGTTTCAGCAAAAGCCCCATAGTCATCAATTCTCACTTGAAAGATTTGAGCTGGCCTCAGTCAGTGAAGTATGGTTGGAAAACAATTGTCCAGGTTTGGTCATATACTCACTCTTGAATCAGGCTCAGCCCACACAAACCACATGGAGAAAGAATGAGGGAAATCTATTTCTCCAAAGATGGTAGAGATTGCTCGCTGCCCTCCATAACTGTTCTCCAGTTTTTCCCTGCTAATAAACTTCCCATGTTTTAGCCAGGCATAAGGCCACCCAGAATCAAGACTAAATTTCTAAGGATCCCTTGAAGCTAGAAAGCCAGCTGATAAAAGTTCTGACCAACTGGATATAGGGGGAAGTAATGTGAACAACTTCCAGGACTTGTCCAAAGGGAGATGGCATGTTTTTCTCCTTCTTTTTCTTCCTTCCTGATGGTCAGAATGTGAACATGAGAGTTGGGGATGAATAAGTCATCTTAGACTACGTGGTGACCTTAAACTGGAGGAAACACATGGTAGAGCAACAAGACAGAAGGAGTCTGGGTTTCTAGCATTGTGGAGCTTCCATATCAGCCCTTGATCATCTTTTCTGGACCTATATCTTGTTTCAGTGAGAGTTATTTGACAACAACATAACCCAACATGATCCAACCTGATATTCCAAAAGGAAAATCCTGGTGTTACTACAAAAACATGGACCTGGGCAGGGACAGCCAACTTCACTGTCTCACTCCCTGAAACATCCTACCCACAATCATGGAAATTTGAAGAGGAAAAGCTGACTGGCTTGGATGTATCTGAAATGCCCAGGAATTTCAGAGTTTATGGATCCCAAAAGAAAAATAATAAAAAATGGTGCCAAGCACAGAATTATAAAAAAATAATTGGATACACATTTATTCATTAAAAAAATTGCTTGTCAGAGTGGATTACTCTATGTTTGACCTTGTAATTTTAACAATGAAGTGCAGAAATAGTAGGTTCATAATGTGAAAATTGCTGGAAGTATATATTAGAGCTCCTTTCAACATTGGTTTGACATTTATATTAATAATTTGAATGAAGAATTAATTAAATAGTAATCAAACATGGAGATGACATGATGCCAAGAGTGGTTCATTCATTGGATACTGGAGTCATAGAAGCACCGAATTCCACAACATCAGAACCCCAAGAGGTTTTTGAGGCTACCTAATTATAACTTAAGGATCCCTAGCGGTGCAGTGGTCAAGCACTCGGCTCCTAACCGAAAGGTCAGCAGTTCAAACCCAACAGCGGTTTCCCAGGAGAAAGCTGTGGCAGTCCGCTTCCATAAAGATATACAGCCTTGGAAACCCTATGAGGCAGTTCTACTCTGTGCTATAGGGTTGCTATGAGTCAGAACTGACTCAATGGCAACATGTTTGGTTTCGGAATCGTAACTTCCCATTTTCCAAGTGAAGAAACTAAGGCTCAGAGAAGTCAATCCACTTGCTCGAGGTACATCTGGAATCAAGGGTAAAGCTGAGATTCAGTCTTGCTACTTTTTTTTTAAAAAACAAATGAAAGCTACATCATAACTCAAGATTCAAAGAGACATTTAAAAAAAAAAACTGGAGCAGTGAGCTGATGAGACAAGATGAAATCTAATCAGGTCAAATGTGTAAGGACCTACATGTTGGACCCAAAAAAGCCTACTGTATAAGCACAGTATGGGGTGGATGTGTCTTCATCAGTAGTACTTGCAAGAAACACTTAGAGGTGTTACGTGGCTGCAAGCTTGAGATGTCAGAAGTGTGATGTAGCTACAAGAAAAAAGATAATGGGGTCTTAGGTGGTATTCCTACAAGGAGAGTTTTCAGAAGGGAGGAGACAGGCCTGTTGAACTTTTCAATCTACACCTGGAATTCCTCATTCAGACTCAGGTGCCAAATTTTAGAAGAGATATAGGCCAATTAGTTCACACAGTGAGAGGAGCCTAGGATGGTATCATGTAATGGCAAGAAGTGTTAGGGAGTTGCAAAGCACTGTAATTAAGAGTTTAAGTCTTGGAGTCAGACTTCCTGGGTCTAGTTCCAGTGCTGCCAATTACTGAATGTGTGTTCTCAAAGCCTTAATTTCACTGTCAGTAAATTAGGAATTATAATAGCACCTATCTCCGAAGATAAACGAGGTAGTGCATGTCAACAGATTAGCACATTACTGGCACAAAACAAGCACTCAATAAATGTTAGCTACCGTTAGAATTAAGGAAGTGAAGTGATGTGGGGATAAATGGGGATAATGATAACAATCTCATAGGGTTGTGGTGAATATTAAATGAGTTAACACATGCCAAGTGCTATTATCATTATCTGCAGTAGAGGGATTGGTTTAAGGTTCCTAGGGATGGGCCTGGTTTGGGATCAAAATACTCCGTGGCTTGAGCTAAGGGTCACAGAGTCTGATCAGGCTATACCCTGAATAAGGGTGATCAGCTACACCCTTAATAAAGATGCTCAGTTTTGTGTGTGTGTGTTTGGTGGTGGTGGTGGTGGGGTGTTGCAAACGGTTAAAGTTTGACGCCTTACTGAGGTTGGCAGTTCAAACCCACCCAGAAGCACTTTGGGAGAAAGGCCTGGGGATCTATTTCTGAAAGATCACAGCCTTGAAAACCCTATGGAGCAGAGTTCCACTCTGCAACACATGGGGTCGCCAGGAGTCAGAACAGACTCCACAGCAACTGTTTTTCGTTTGGTTGGTTTTTGGGGTTTTTTGGTGTGTGGAGGAGCTGTTGATGGTGGTCATGTAGACATTTTATTGGGGTACTCACTTGAACCTCTGGGCACCGTGATTCGGCATTGTTGTGGAGGGTAACTCGGCTGAGTTCTTGGCCGCAGTCAGAGCAACCTTCTGACGACATGGTATAAGGCTGGTCATTCAGGGGAGTACTGGGGATGGTCACTCGAGCCTGTTCTGGGCATGGTCACCGAGAACTGTCCTGTGGGCACTCACTTAGGGATCACTCAGAGTGGAACTGCTCCTGGATGAGCCCTCAGCCGCTAGTACCATTTCCTCCTCCTGCTGCCACTGCGTGAGGGGCCCGCGGCATCTTGGACCTTACCAACGCCTTGGGACAGGTACAGTTTCCCGGGAGCAGTCCGCCGCTAGGGGGCGGCCGCTAAGAGAGGAATCCGATGGGCCCGAGTCAGCTCCTCTGGGGCTCGCTCTCCCGCCCGTTCCCAGCAAGATGCGGGGTGACAGGTGGGGTGCGTGTTTCATGGGTGTGAGACAGAGCGAGCCGCCCGAGTGTGAGTCAGCAGGGGACGGGGGAGCGCTTAGGAGCTCGATGAACAGTCACGGAATCTCGCTCACGCTCAGCACCTTCATCCATCCGTCTTGAGTGGGTCCTAGTCCCGCGCGTGTGCGCACACGGCACGATGTCCGATTTTTGGGTGTGTGTCTGTTTAGCGGCACAGCTAGGGAGGCAGGAGTGTTCCTGTAGGTGTTTTTATGCCCAGGTTAGATTTTCTCCCCCTCCCCGTCCCTGGTGTATGTAGGGTGTGTCCCGATCAGGGTGCGTGTGTACGCCTGTGTGTGGTGCGACTGTGTATCAGTGTAGGGTGGTTGCGTCTGCGCTCGGAGTATTTGTGTCTGGCTATGGGCGCGATCTCGACCTGGGTTCCCACCCTGGGTGTCGGGGAGGCCAGTGTGATGGGGTGTCCAGCCTCCTGACAGAGTAAATGCCTTTTGACACTCTCCCTTCACCGCCCCCAGCTGTCCAGGGTTCCTTAGGGAGCCGCCTGCCTGAGGAGGGTCCGGGATGGTGTGTTCCTAGGAGAAGTAAGAGAGTGGGGGAGCAGGGGCGGGCCCGGTCCCCGGGCGCGGCGCGGGCTCGGGGGACCCGCGCGGCTGACGTCAGGCGACTCCTTAAATAGAGCCGGCAGCGCGCTCCGCTCGGCATTTCCCGAGGAGCCAGAACCAGGCCGGCGCCAGCGCCACCGTCCGGTCCGCCGCCAGCCCGCACCTCCGCGCCGCCGCCAAGCATTCTGTGCGCGGCGCTCCGAGAATCCAGAATGGGGCTTCGGGCGCTGGGCGCGCTCCGAACCCGGCGCCCGTAAGAGCCGAGGAGCGCCGGGAGCCGCCCTGCTGCCCGGAGCCCCCGCGCCTAGAACGAGGAGATGTTGGAAGCGCCGCCGCCTGTTCCGGGAAGAGCCGCCGCCCCCGGGATCCCTGGGCATGGAGCGCGCCCGGGCCACCACCGCTTGGAGAAGACGGCGCCCCCTTCGCCCGACCCGCGCGTCCCAGACCGCGCAGCCTGAGCCTCTCGGAGGCCTCAGGGCCAAAGCCGCTCCGCCGCCGGTGCCCCCTCGGAAATCATGACCCCCGGCGCGCGCCCATGGAGCCATGGCCTATAGGGTCCTGGGCCGTGCGGGGCCACCTCAGCCGCGGAGGGCGCGCAGGCTGCTCTTCGCCTTCACGCTCTCGCTCTCCTGCACTTACCTGTGTTACAGCCTCTTGTGCTGCTGCGACGACCTCGGACAGAGCCGCCTGCTTGGCGCGCCTAGCTGCCTCCGCGGCCCCAGGGCGGGCGGCCAGAAACTTCTCCAGAAGTCCCGCCCCTGTGAGCCTCTGAGGCCTACGCCCAACGAGCCCAGCGCTTCCAGCGCGCCCGCCGCCGCCGTGCCCCCCCCTCGCCTCTCCGGTTCCAACCACTCTGGCTCACCGAAGCTGGGCACGAAGCGGCTGCCCCAAGCGCTCATTGTGGGCGTGAAGAAGGGGGGCACCCGGGCTGTGCTGGAGTTTATCCGGGTGCACCCTGACGTGCGGGCCTTGGGTACAGAGCCCCACTTCTTCGACAGGAACTACGGCCGCGGGCTGGACTGGTACAGGTAAGGAGAGGGGAGCCCCACTTCGCGCGCCTAGTCTCCAGTCAGCTCCTCCTTGGAGTCATCTCTTGCGCTTTCTTCTCCCCTTAACCCAGTTCGTTGTGTGGGTTCAGGCTGACGTTGGGGACTCGAGCAGAAGGCTTTATCCTGAACTTCTCAGTGATTACCTAGGCGGGGCACGCGGTTTCTTGAACTGCAAAGGCATTGCTTGTTCTCCTGGAGCCGCCAGAAGGGAGCTCTCCAGCCAAACCTCATGGCGAGGCTAGAAGGCTGGTTCTGTATCTAGTCTTTGGGGTGCAGAAGGATGTCCAAGGAAGGGGCAGGCCTGGACAGCCCTCTCTCTCCTGGGCCGCTGCAGATCTTTCCTGGTCCCCTGCTTCTGAAGGACCCTGGAAAGGGGAACGGCAGGGCAGAGCCCCCTTGCGGCAGGGCTCCGCGCTTGGGTGAGGTCCCCACGGTTCAGGCTACATGAGAGGCAGCCTGAGGTCTCTGGATGAAGACGGCCCCTTCTAGTCTCATTCTCAGCTCCGTTTGCCTAAGCTGAGACTCTCAGTCACTCTGACCCTGAGCCAGTCGTCTTGGAGTGGTGGGAAAAAAACCTGCATTCGAATCTTGGCAAATTGCTTAAACTCTCCCGGCCTTGACTTTCTCATCTACACAATGGGCAGGATAACAGTCCTTGCCCTGTCTGCCTCCCAAGGCCTTTCTAAAGTGCTTTAAAAGCATACAAAAGACACTTTGAACTGGCTGATGCTTCTAAACCAATAGCCAGAATGTAGACTTCAGAATACTGGGGGACCTCAGAAAAAGGCTGGCCAGGATCCTGGGGCAGCCAGTCAATAGCAGACGGTCCATTCCCCCATGGGACAGCCGGGGATGAGAGTTACCCAGACTGGTGGTGTCTGGGAACAGACTGAAGCTTCTGTGACATGACAGTCTCCTCTGTTCATTATCCACCAGCCTCCCAAGCACTGTCTGGTGCTGAAGTATCAAATTGGCCCACATGTGGGATGGTTCAGGGCATCTCTGGGGGTGGGGTGGTGTATGGGCTCTCCACAGCACGTGGATCCCAGAATTCTCACCATTCATTTGACCCCTTGAAGACTTTCTAGAAATGTCTGCATAGTAATGGAACTGGGGAGGGGCTGACACAGTAGCTGAGCCTAATTTTTATAAAAATAAACCCTTTAGGCAGTAAGAGGGTTGTAAGCATATTGGGCAAAGGCCAACAACTTCATTAGAAGGAAGACTCCTGTGATGGGCTCATAACAGGGGGCCCTGGATTTGCAAGAAGGGGGGCCACAGGACCAACTTGTCATCATTGCCAATTAGCCCTGGTCTGCAGTGGTCATGGTTATAGGGACAAGGGGTGTGGCAGGTACCACCCTCAGGAAGCAGACACATCATCTGTCTCCAGTGGAGCCCAGTAGGGGAGAGTTGGCCTGTGGGTGGCCCCAGCACCATTCTGTCTGGTTAATGGGGTAAGGTGGCATAGAGTGGCAGGTCTGGCTCAGTTGCAATGCTGATGGCCCTTGGTGCTTCCCAAGTGGTGACCTGCAGGCCTCCCACCTGCATATTTGAGAACGCTGTCTGAGCCAGACCCCAGGGAGGATGCGGCAAACGCATTGGACAGCAGAGCCTGGAAAGGGCCGGCCATGGTCACACTCCAATGAACACCAGGGTTTCCTCGATGGAAAATCTGAAGATCATTATGCAACCCTTTGCCAACGTGAAGCGCCTTTTAAGCGTAAAATAACAAAATTCCGAGTGTCTGGCTTTTGGATATGTTACCCTCTATTAATACCTGTCCCCTGAACCCAGATTCTCCTCTCTCCACCACCCTCTAGCATACCCCAGGCTTCCTTCCTGGAGCCCGTGTCATTCAGGGATGGCTGCTTTTTATTTTTAACCTTGGCATGTGTGATTCTAAGCCAGCTTAGCTGTGAACCTTAGAGATGGAAGCCGTGCCTTTTTTCATTTTTTTATTTTTTTAGCACATTTGGATTCTGCTAAAATTCTCAGCTGAGTCTTGGTAGGTTTTATTTAACATCAAGCACGCTGACAGCTCCACTTCTCTCTCCACTCCCTTCCTTCTCTGAGTATGAGTTGCCCTCCCATTCCTGCTCTGTATTTCTAAGGTAATGCTTAGCCTGGAGGTCTGGGTACCAGTCCTCCTGTTCCCACCAGCACCATGGATGGCTGTGAGCCTACAGCATCAGGAGGGGCTGTGTGATGTGTGCTTCTTTCAGTTGCAAGCGTACACCCCCGAGTCAAGGATCTCAATGTGGATGGCCATTTCTGCACAAGGTAGCGCCACCCCATTTGGGTACTGTTTTCATAATGTCCAGAACACTTCTCTGTATGTGTTTTATCCTTTATGATCACGCAAGTAATATGCATTAACTGTAGGAATGATGGAGATCTGGAAACCTTTCATATCGTGTTCTTACTTTATTCCTGAGTTCCATGAGTTCAGTAGGGCAGATGACATGACACTCCTTCCTCTACCCCTTGCCCTTATCATTTCATGGATGTGAAGACTGCAGTCCCCAAAAAGAGAGCATCTGGAATGGGGTCACAAGGCAAATTGATGACATTTAGGACCCAAGTCACTGGTATACACTGTCCCACAAAGATACACACACACACACACAACGCACACATGTGTGTATGCGCATGTATGAATGTCCAGCCAAGGTCTAACCAAGCCTATCCACAGCATGCACCATAAAGCCAGTGCCTGCCAGGTGGACATGGCAGCAGCGCCCTTGCTCCATTGTGGTGGAGTGTGCTTTCCAAAGGGGGAGTTGCGGGCAGTGCATCTCATTATGATTTGCCCACATTAAGCCTCTGCAGATAACTTCCTGGGTCAGGAAGGCCACATCCAGATAGAGAATGTTAAAATCAAAATGCTTTGCCATCAGTCCAACAGGAGACTTCTTTCTGTGGGTTGTGGTGGTTGCTAGCTGCTGCCGAGTCAGCCCCTGAGTCACGGCGACCCCGTGCACAATGGAACAAAACGCTGCCCAGCCCTGTGCCATCCCCACGATCGGTTGAATATCAGACCGCTGTGATTCATAGGGTTTTCACTGGCTGATTTTTGGAAGTCGATCACCAGGCCTTTCTTCCTAGTCTGTCTAAGTCTGGAAGCTCCGCTGAAACCTGTTCAGCATCATAGCAACACCCAAGCCTCCAATGATGGATGGGTGGTGGCTGTGCATGAGGTGCACTGGCCGGGAATTGAACCCAGATGTCTTGCATGGAAGGTGAGAATTCTACCACTGGACCACCACCAACCTTCTTCCTGTGGCCAAATGGAGATAAACTAGGAGGTGACAAATGGCACCTAAAGGCAGAGTGGCACATGCAAACACCATGGCCAGAGAGACCAGAAGTCAGGGTATGTACCTTCCTTCCCCCCACCCTCCCCCCACCCCTACCCCAAGCTCCTTCTGGGAACCAGCCCAGCTCTAGCTACCCTATGAGAACCCAGTTTTCTGTGGTGGGACCCCTCCCATGTAATATTTTTCCGAGAGCACATCACTAATGCCTACCTCACTTATACACCTGGCTTGGGTTCCCTAATCCAGAAATTCTTCCCAAGCCGGGCCTGCAGGGTGGAATGAGCTAGCTGCTTGGATAGGTAGGCAAACTGACACCAGGCTGATGAGGGACCCCGAGTAGGACCTGCTGTCAGAAGACCACAGGTAGCCAGCCACCTAGATGCTGTGCGATTGATAGCAAAGTGGTCTTCCTGAGTCTGGGCTTCCCCGTCGTAGGATGGGGCCTGTAGTAAGCATCATTGAAGTTTATTTTGAAGAATGAATGAAACACTGTGTATGAAAGTACCTGAACAATTATATAGTACAGACAGATAAAGCAGTAATGTTACTACTATGATCACTGCTACTGCTAAAACCAGTTGCTGTCGAGTCAAGTCTGACTCACAGCCCCCCCGTGTGTGTGTCAGAGTAGAACCGTGCTCCATAGGGCTTTCAATGGCTGGTTTTTCAGAAGTAGATCGCCAGGCCTTTCTTCCAAGGCACCTCTGGATAGACTCGAACCTCCAACCTTCTGGTTAGCAGCCAGTCACATTAATAATAAGTCCTTTGCACCACCCAGGACTCACTATTACTACTAATGCTTCACTAACAACACCTCTGTTACCACCATTAGTACTACTAGTATTGTAATTATCAGTTTGAGCCCTGCTGCTGTTACCAAATGGGATGAGAATTCATCAATTGCTGGGAAAGTAGTTCCGTGATAGACTAGAAAGGGTCCTGGCTTTGAGTTCTAATTTCAGCTGCGCCATTAACTTAATTTCCTTTTTCATTTTCTCTCCTTCCTTCTTTCCTTTCTTCCTTCCTTCCTCTCTTTCATGTTGAGAAAGGTCAACTTCACCTTTTCCGGGAGTCAGTTTTCTCACCTTTAAAATGGGAACGATACCTGCCCTGATTTACAATCTTGTGGAAATCAAGTAAGACAATGTATGTGAAAATGCTTCTCCAGCTGTGAGGTTATATTTAGGACATTGTTGTGTTATTAAGGTTTGGATGTGAGACAGAATATTCAGCGTCTTCATCTTTTTTTAAAGAGGTATAAGCTGCGCCATGTCCTGTAGCCGTTAGAGGAAGCTGAGTTTTGTCTGAATGTTCTTGATTTTTTTTTTGTTGTTGTTTTAAGGGGTGGGATGGGGGGGCTGCAAAGAAGAAAGGAATCTTCTCTAAGTGCGTCGAAATGCCAACCAGAGAAAGTTAATACGTGATAATTGACTCCGTGCTCTGGTGTCACAATTCTGATAGTCGAGCCTGTCCTATAAATTTTAGACTCCATCTCACAACTGTGGTTATTTATTTGCTCAGCATTAGTGGTGTTCTTAGGAATGTAAAACAAAGAAGACAGAGTCTTTGCCCCGGAGGCAACAGTAAGTGAGAAGGACAATAAAGGACACAGAATAAGGTCTATTGCATTATCCAGGTTGTTTCAATCAAGAAATCAAA